AACCGTTGCATGCTCAGTCTGGGTACAATGGCTTTCCTTCAGGCGAAGCAGTTATACCGAAGCAGCCTGAATACGTTACTACGTAGGCGGGGCTTGGTGTCAGTTGGAAGCTGCCTTCCTGATAACCTCGACCAGGCTGACGCCATACCACAACGTCACCGCCCCAGCGCAACAGAAATGAAGCAGTCGCTGTCGCCTAGGGTGATGGAACCCCCGAAACTGTCGACCGAAACGCACCCGCTGTACGTCGATGCATCCCGACGGTTACTTATGCAGTGTACAAAACTGTGAATAAACGTGCCAGAGCAGGGAATACGCAACCTGCAAACATGAACGAAACGGTTTTTCTTGTTCCTCGTAGTGCGTGTTTAATTTGTGTCCTGCCCGCTTGGGTGAGTTTTGTTCTTGTATAATTCAGTCGTATGCGGTGCGCTTAGGCCTTGGTTGATTGATCACGCGTTCGGTGCAGCCTTCTGATATTGCACTTCCCCATTCCTGACACGTGACGGTTGCAAGGATGTGAACCCCGGCGCACTGATTGTACAGTTTTATTTCCTGCCTTTGTATTCCTCAGTTTAGGCATTATTACCAAGATAATTCTCCAGTGTTTCTGTGCTTCGAATTTGCTTCCTGTTTATTGATGTTCTTAGCGTGGGTTTTGGGTCCTTTTCGTCTTGGTATGCTAGCTAAGCATCACGTCGATCATTCGCTGCAATAGTGGTGCAGGGACCAAAGGAAGTAATTGCTCGTTTTCTGTGCAGCTCTCCGGTACAACGGCGATATGTCATGCGGAACGGGTTCCAGTAATAAATCTAGCTGGGTAGTGATGATCCGATAGCTGCGATAAAGAGTTTGAACTTCGCCTCCGCACTTCCGTAGGACATCATGTTAAATTTCCTTAGGTGTAAGCGGCTCTATCTTTTGCGGGATCGTACGTGCATGTGAAGGTGAGCGGTTTACAAGTATCGTCGTAACTTCAATAGAACGATGTATGCGCAACCCGAAGCATTCAATTGGTTGCCGGTGACTTCTTCCGCGGGTGAAGTCATGCGTTGAGATCCTGCGAAAAGATCGCTCCCAGGGCTTTCTCATGTGTGACATACATTATGAGGTAACCTCCAACATGATACGCATTGAAAGGACCGAGGACATGAATCGGGATAAAGGCGCACTTGTCACGGTTTATCGGGTTTGCCGACTAAATGGACCCGCTTACCCACTTGTTATAGGAAACTGGTAGTCTGTCTTTGTCCCCTGGGCAAGTTGCAGACCACATCTTTAGGTCTTGGGAGCATACCGGAGGGTGCGTTTGTATTGCCGCTGGAACGTTGTTTATGTACATGGTAAAGTGTTCCGGCTCCAGGACATAGCATCGCGTAACCACCCGTCTCAAGCACAGTGACGAAAAGAGTTCCCTGCACGTTCGCATCAATGTTTGTTGCCCCGGGATGTTCGTGTACACAAACTCACTGACGTATGAGCATAAGCCGTTGATAAGAGACGTGGGCAAATGCCATGTCGATGCTAATGAAGGGTACTTCAAAGCATTTCCTTTTGTCCGTAGCTGTAACCCATGTTTCTCGGGTAGCATGCAGGTTAGTGATGTCCGAGCGTGCACTGCGGAGTGCATCCCCTGCTTGGTACACTGCGCATACTCCTTCCCAATGACTGTGGAGAGAACGTTTGATTATTCCCCAAAGGTTTCGCAGAAAACGGACGTCACGCATATCGGGTGGTCGTTTTCTAGGGTGTATCGAATGTATACGTTTGCATTAATGCGGTACTGCTCCTACCTTCCAAGCGCTGAGTGAGACGCCGTCTGCAATTGAAAGCTGCATTATTTGGTAGATGTGGTCGGCGATGTAATCAGCCTAAAGGTGGAGTAATGTTGCGTGCAGCCAAACAGCGCCCGGTGCTGAGTGAGGGTTCTACTCAAGCGTTACTTGCATGAGGATTTCTAACTTAGGTTCTACTAGATCCGGGGTTGGGGTGCACGTAAGCGCATATTTTTTGAGCAACTGTAACTCCACGGCGTTCACAGCTGACTACTGCAAGGCTTTAATTTGGCGTAAGAGTCTTCGTGAAGCGGTACAGTGCTTTCTCCAGGGGCAGTTCGGAAGGGGTTACCAACCGCCCGGCTGCTTTACCCCGCCTGGTGTTTCAAAAACAAGCCCCGTGCTTGTTCTCGACACACCACCGGGCCATGTTCATATTAAGATGATGCAACCGTACCTGTGTTTTCTTGTATACGTACTGCAGTTTGTCTTGCGTTCATTGAGCACCGCAGTTACAGTTCGATGCAGTGAGTTCCTTGGTATAATGCAGAGGGTTTGTACATCAGGACGCCATTCTCCGTTACGGACGTCATCATGGTCAGCAGCACGTTCCATGCTTCCTCCACACTGAGCGACCGTGGGATACCGCAAATATAGCCAAGGCTGACCATGAAAAATAAATTACTCTGGAGTGTTGCACTATAGCGCAGGTAAACTATCCCTGCATTCCGTGGGAACAGCTACCCCCACAAGTGTTTGCAATGTTGTGCATCAGTGGATAGATGGGGAGGCCTTTGTTATCCTCGAGGTACAACGATGTTCAGCGTTGGGTGTATGCGTGCCGCTGAAATACCATCACCGCATAGTGAATATGGGCTCCCTACTTGAAGGTCCTAGACGAAAACACGCGTGCTCTTCAGCAACTTCACACCGTTACTTCCCTTACGGCATCAAGGTTTTCACGTAATTCACTGCCATGCACCCACCTAACTCCCTATTCCATTCCTCATCCGGTTTATGTGCCGTCTAGGTGTCCGCTGCAATCGGTGATGCCATGCTTTTGTTGTAAACCATGTTAATTTAGCTTATCCATATATCCGCTGCCTTCCACAACTACAACGACGTTTCAGCGGTGTTGTACCGTATGTGCTGTTGCAAGTAATGAACATCCATTTGCAATAACACATCGTGCATCTCTCTATTGCAGGCACCTTTTGAAGCAGTTCCGCGCAAACGT